GGCAGTCATTTTATTTGCTTGATTATAATGGATGGAAATACTAATCACACTATCAGCACAAACAATGAATGAGTAGTTTACCCATATACACTGTTTGAATAATCAAAAGTGACCTCATGGTGTCCAGTTCTGAGTCATAATTTCCTGTGGTGGATTTCCATACAATGAATGCTGGGGTGGAAACAAGTTTTAACATTCCACCCAAAATATACATGAATTTTTAAAAATCTGAGGCCTGTGAAGTTCTGACCTCAAAGGAAGTGGGGTTCAGGGGGCACCTAGAGACCTGGAATAAAATGAGTTATTAAGTCCCTCAGGTCAGAGTCACAATCATATGTTAGCTGGCCACATATTTACTTGAAGTAGTAGGCATTTGGTCCCTTGCCCAATGTTATGGTTTTGAACTGAAATTTTCCCTAAAAGCGCTGTGGTACAGCTTTGGCTGCCAGGTGACTTGATGTGTGAAAAGTGAAGGGATCACAAAGGATCTTTTGTTCTTTCTCTGGTTCCTGGCTGCCATCAAGTGAGCACCTTTTCACAGCTGTGCCCTTTGGCCACTATATTTGTGCCACACTACGGGTCTAAAAGCACTGGAGCTGGTTGCCATGGACTAACATCTCTAAAGCTATGAGCCAAAATAATCCTTTCCTTTCTAAAGGTATTTTTGCCAGGTACTTCACCATAGCAATACACCTCCTATGAAAAATTGGAATTGAAATTCATAATCATTTCACATCCGATAATATGAATTTGTTAATTTGTCTGAAAATGATGTTCAACTTGATTTGTTTATGGTTAAATTTGCATATAGGTGCAAGTGGAAATGACACTAGGTATAATTTGTTATTGTCTTCTGATGATCCTAGTTTTGACTCGAGTTTTTTACCATTATCATGGGAGTGCTCGGTCCAGTACTCAGTAAGATTTAGGGCAGATAACTGAACTGAATAGGTAATATTTTCCTCATTTTAAGATAGTTGAGAAAGAAAGAAAATTTCTGACTTGTAAGTTCAAAACTATTATTAAACTAGTAAATAAACTACATTAGAACAGATTACATAATTGATAATCAACATTATAAAATTCATATTCAACTTAAGAAGTGATGTTTTAGAGAGGAAACATGACAGGTCATATTACAAAATATTTATGTTTTACAGTAATTTTGAAATTAATCTCTTATGTACTGATTTTTCACAGCAGTCATTACATTTTTCTCTGGTCTTATTGTTGGTCAGTAAAATCCCTGGGAATTAGGATCACAGGATGCATCTCTCAGGCCTTGTAGGCAATCAAAAGTTTGGATGGGGAAGACATGCAGTGAAATAACACCGTGTACTGGGTCATGGCTGGGATATAAGGAGAGACTGCGATCCTTTTAGGTATCCAGATTTATACTCAACAAAGTGGATTAATTGAGGGTTGAGGAGGAAGTGGTTAGAGGGGCTATCAAGGGGAGAAATCATTTAAATGAGTTGAGAAAATACACAAAAGAGAGTCAATGCTGTGGGTCTTAGGAAATGTGTAGTAATCTCTTTAGTGTGATATATATGACTTACAGATACAGTAAACAATCTTATAAATATGTGAGAATACAGAGTGAAAATATTTGGGAGTACTCTGTAGTACACTTGCAATTTTTCTTAAAGCTTAAAATAATTTTAAGCAATAACACTGTTAAAATATAACCATTAGCATAACAACTAGCACTTTTCTTCTTCTAGAGAGGTTGCTTTGATTTAAAAGAAACATTCACACAATGTGAAATAAGACAAATGCTGCATCCGGAAAACATACACTCTAAATTATTAGGGCAGACAGTATCAGACTATCATGGGAAATTCTTTATAGATAATTGTACCAAAGTAAATATTTTGGATGGACAAAATCAAAATGAAATTACCTAATTGCATCACTGTTGAAAAATGTAAATTAAGAGAATGAGATAAATTTACACAACCCAATCTAGGAATAATTACCAATTCTGAGATTATTAAGAGTTAACAAGGACGTAGATCAAAGGGAGTCCACCCACATTGCTGTTGAAAGTGTTAATTGTGATAATCATTTTAGAAAATTGGTTGCTGTCTTCTTGGGAAAGACATACTGCAACACACAGCAATTCTATTTTTATAATTATAACTTCAAATGCATGCATATGTGCTCGAGGATCCACTTACAATAAAGGTCAGGGCAGCTTCCTTCATTTTAGCCAAATGGGAGATCACCCATTAAGTACTTATGAAGATTGCTTTACAAGCATTCGAGGGAATTATGTAGTGCCTGCCAATGAATGAAGTATATCTACACACAAAACATGATTTCATGTTCTAGAAAATGAAGCTTAAATGGAGACACCCAAGAACCAGGACACCTCCCTCAACCATGCCACTTATTTTTTTTTTTATTTTGCCTTTCTTTTTTTTTATTTTAAAAATAAAAGGAGGAAAACACTGACAGACAGACAACCTTTTACAAAATAGCAAAAGAACAGTACAAACAATACAGAGTTACAAACAAAGTGGTAGGAAATTAACAATGCTACTTGTATTACATATTGATATCTTCAGAGTGGTTTCTCATGAAAACAGATATAGACCTGAGATATTGATCAATCAAGGACTCATCAACAGTTTCTTTCAGCAAAGAAACAGAAGACAGTAGAACAACCATGTTAACTATCCTGTATATACATACATAGAAATTTTCTCCTTCTTTCCCTTCTATTTTCCCACATCCCAGTTGCCCTTTACCCATGAGTGTTTTCCTATCATTTCACAACCATGCCACTTAATACTGGTGTTCTTCAGGTTTGTGGAATCTCTCCGGACATTAACTGTTAAAGAAAGTTCCTGACAGTGGCCCCGATTCTGGCTGGCCAAAATACTCTGTCCTTCTTAGCACCCAACCCTGTAGTATCCTGTGTACCCTGAGGGCTCACAGGAAAGCTCTCATCCCAATTCCTCCTAATTGGTTCTTTGGGGATGCAATTTGTAATACATTTTACTGACAGGTTACTGTTGCAAAGCTCTTTAAAAGTTACTCTCAGTCCCCCATGCAGATGCTGTCATAGATCGAGTTGAGTCGCAAATTACATTTGTTCTGGGAAAGAGGATCAAGAAATAACAAACCTGTAAGTCAGGGCTCAGTGTGTGTGCTCAGTTACGGGCAGACCTGGACTTGCACTGGGGCCTCAGCAACGTGTTATCCCAGAGCACACAGGTGAGTCAATTCTCCTTCCTTTGCAAGACACAGGACATCAGAGACTGGAGATATGGTGGGGTAGACGACAGAGACGTGGGCCCTAAATTTAGACATGGTACCCTGAAAGGACTGCCACACACAAGAGGAGTTATTTGCTCTCAGGTGCAGAACGAATCTGTCTGTCCCGCCCCGCCCTGTGCAAACAGAGCAGCTTCTTTGTATAACCACTTTTAAAGGTTCAATTCTTGTGTGTATCTCCCCCACACTCTCCCCCTTTTCAGTGATTGTAATTTAGTGGTCTGAAATTCATTTGCACAAAGAATACATTTATATAGTTGTTTCTCAGAATTTTAAATAATGAAATAGAACAGAAGTTTCCAGCAAATACAGGTATTTTAACAGCTTGATTTATTCCTATTATATACGTAAGAATGCTTTTCGGTACTATTTGCATTCTCCTGATCTGTCCCAGACCATTTTTGTCAGCTGCCCCATCTGGGTTCTGAAGACTTTCCCATATCCATTCTCACTGCAGAGACATAGACATTATGAGGCAATTCAGGACAGGATGGTAAGTAACACCATATGTGGTTGGCTCTCAACTCAGGCAGATTGCGTGTCTCATGACATTAAATAAAATATGGTAAAGTTTTTGTAAATGTGTATTTGTGAAAGGCTTAGAAACTTGGGTGTTTTGTCTTTCAAGGAAAAATTTCAGTGACCTCAACATTAATAAAAAATTTTCTTCTCTCTTCAGTCAAGAGAATGAGAATTAAAAGACTGAATCATTTCTTGCATTAATAGATGTAAGCAATTTTCTCAGCTTCCTAATTAAAACTTTTCCAATTGTGTTTTTACTTAACTTCTGTAGCACTCTATTAATCTGACTTTACATCTCCTGAAAGAAATTTACTTTCTCCATTCCTTCTTGTCAGAAATTCATCTGCTTAGGGAAACTTTAAGTTTTTTTTTTTATGTCTAAATTACTAGGTCACAGGAAAGAACTGAATGGATTATTGGTATTAAATAACTTTTTCCATAAATGGTAGAAGCACAAGATCATTATCAACTAAGAAATGAAGAATTTGATGAAAACTTAAAGACTAAGATTCAAAAGTTGTTCTAGTTACAAATAAAAAAGCCCAAAGAACTTAACATGTATTTGAAGGATGAAATTGTCTCTTGGTAATTCACCTATTGTGACGAGTGAAATATCTGACTTCATGCTACTTCTTTTTTTGTGAAGAGAAACCAGGTTACTTGCCCTATGCAGCACACAGATGTCACCATGGAGAGTTATGTCACCTCCACTTGTAAAAGCTGCTTGGAAATGCATCCGGCTTTCTCTGTTTTCCCGGGCACTTCCACAATGCAGGATTTGAGTAGCTCTCACACGGCATTGTCATCTCAAGCACTACTGTCCCTCAGTGAGTTCTAACTACAAAAAAGATGACCAGCATCACCCATACCAATGTCAGCATATAACATTATATTCATGGGCAACAAATTTAATATGAGGACTTTAAATTATCTCAGTTATCCTACGTCATCAAGGGCAGGTTATATGGCTTGCATGTACTGATCTTTGGGTTTGGGGCCAGCTCTGGAAACTAAAATGAAATTTTATTCAGTTTCTGTAATACTTTCTACGAAATCACCATAAATATTTGTTCACATAAAGAACAATCTAAAAACATTTGGAAGTTAAAATTAAAAGGAAAGATTAGACAGATGATAGATTGATGGATAATAGATTAATCTAACTAAAGTAGTACACAGTTGTAATATTTTTCCGTCTCTGACCATAATTTTGAATTTCATTTATTTCATTTTTTAGGAAGAAGAATGAGTCCTGAAAATTTGGCAATGGGGATTTTGTTCCTAACACAGACTGGAGTGGGAATCTCAGGCAATTTTTTACTTCTATTTTATTACTCTTTCTTTGTTTTCACTGGAAAGAGTCTGACGCTCAAAGACCTGCTCATACAGCACTTGACTTTTGCCAACTTCTGGGTGATTACCTCAAGGGGAATCCCTCAAACAATGGCAGAGTTTGGCATGAAATATTTCCTGGGTGACACTGGATGTAAACTTATTCTCTACCTTTATCGAGTAGCCCGGGGGATTTCCCTGTACACCACGTGCTGCCTGAGTTGCTTCCAAGCCGTCACAATCAGTTCCAGCAACAGGTGGAGGACACTTAAGCAAAGAGCCACCAAGTACTTTGGCCCATCCTGTTCACTCAGCTGGCTGGTGCATCCGCTTCTAAACATGCTGATTTCCATGAGGACAGTTGGCCCAAGAAACAATAAAAATAGCAGTAAGACATTTAATTTTGGTTACTGCTCAGGGTTTGTTACCGATACCATGGCAACCGCGATCTATGCGCTCATACTCTGCTGCACAGATGGTCTCTGTTTGGGTCTCATGGCCTGGGCCAGTGGCTCCATGGTGAGCATCCTCTACGGGCACAAGAGGCAGGTTCGGTACATCCACAGTGCCCACCGCTCCCCTCGAGTCTCCCCGGAGCCCAGAGCCACCCAGACCATCCTGCTCCTGGTGTGCACCTTTGTCACTTTCTACGCCCTGTCTTCTATCCTACTACTTCACTCAGCAATGTTTGGAAATACAAACGTATGGGCTATGAATGTCTTTACATTCATAGAGACACGTTTTCCCACCCTTTGCCCCTTTGTTCTAATCAGTAACAGCAACTCTGTTTCTAGGCTGTTGTCCCTGCTGTGTGAACAGGTGATTTTCTCCGAACAGTGCACAAGTTCCAGTGATGTACATTCTGTGATGTGTTGGTATATTGCTTCATTCATTAGGTAATAAATACGGAGAACAACAGTTGTTCCAGCCACCAAAGTGCTTGCAACGTATTTCAGTGGTGTGCAGGTGTTTTTCAATTCTACTAATTCTAGAATTTATTAGCAGGTATCACATTTTGACATTAGCAGGTATCATATGTGGACTACCATTCATACTTACAGCCAGCCCAGCAGCCACTGTAATATGGATTTCACGACATGAACAGCTGTAAACACGCGGTGTTTCGATTGAGTGGGAGAAATGAAGGGAGGAGGAACTGCCAAATATCACCGGATGTAAATAAGTTGAAAATAAAGGTCTGTGTGACTAACTACTGTTTCATCAAACAATTATAACCCTTGATCTCTTGAAATCTTTCAGAAGTTTTTATCCTGATACACAGAATTAATCAATAGATAAAAAATTTACACATTATTTGAAATATTTTAATTGCTGTTAGTTGAAGTGGAAGTGCCCATGAGGAGATGTGTCCACTGGATTTGGTTTTAGCTAAGGTTCAAGTAATTTTCCCATGATTTTATGCCTTCAGTATTTAAAATGAATGATCTACAGTGGTTTGCTAATTGCCAAACACTGGGAAGCATATTCCTAAGAAAGAGAGTTGTGAACGTGATTGGATTCTGATGAGAAATGGAAAAGTTTGATACAGAATAAAGAAAAATCTATTTTTAAGCAAGTAAACTGAGCAGATATAATAAATTCTGAAAATAATAACTCAGATGGCTTCTAAACCCAATGTTGGTGATTTGTAAATTTAAAATCATTAGAACATAAAAAATATTTTTGCATAAACTGCAATACTTTATTTTAAAGAGAAAAAATAACAATAAAAGTTTCAAAACAGGTTAGTAGGAGAGTTACAATAATTAATACATTCTGTACTCTTGTCTTTGTAGTCGTTTTCAGAGTACAAGATATAGGCATGATATCTTGTCCAAACAAGATTAGCATACCTTTCTTTTTAATGAACTAAGAGAAACTAGCAGTATAACTATCATGTGTGTGAATATATTTTTGTTTGTTCCTTTCTTCCTTTCCCCTTTCACTCCTGTTTGTCTTTTCTTTTGAACAGTTTCTTAGAAATTCAAAATGTCTATTGTATATTTTAGATCTTATTTACACGTTCAGTTTCTCACACTAGTGAGAAAATACAATTTTTAAACATGTGGGTCTGATGTATTTCGCTTATGAGTATGAACTCAAGTTGCATCCATTTATCTATAAAATAAAAGTCTCCAGTTGATCCTTCTTTATGGCTGACTAGTACTCCATTATATTAAAAAAAAACACATCTTTTTTTATCCATTCCTTGGTTGATGGGCATTTATGTTGTTTCCAAGATTTAGCTATTACAAACTGTGCTGCTATAAACGTGGGTGTACATGTATCTCTGTGATGTTTTTAATTCTCCTGGGAAGATACCCAGAAGGGAAATAACTGGGTCAAATGGGACCTCTAATTGATTTAAAGGAACCACCACACCAGTTTCTCCTGTGATTGCACTAGTCCACACTCTCACCAACACTGGATAAGTGCTCCATTTTCCCAAAAGCCCCTCCAGTTTTTGTTATTGGTTGATTTCTTGATGACAGCCATTCTTCCTGGAGATGTAATCTCAGTGTTGTTTTAATTTGCATCTCTGGAATGACCAGTGATGCTGAACACTTTTTTATATATTTACTTTCCAGTTGTATTTCTTCATCTGAGAAGTGTGTATTCATCTCAGATGCCCATTTTTGGACTAGGTCTTTGATTTGAGGGGTTCTGATGTTTTTCAATTCTTCATATATACTAACTATAAGTCCTTTGTCTGAGGGAAAGCTGGCTATAATTATTTCCCAGTGTGGGTTGTCTTTTCACTCTGTTGATGATTATTTCTTTTGTTGTGCAAACTTTTTAATAAGGTGAGATCCCATTTGTTGATTCTTTGCAATATTTCCCTTGCAGTCTGGGTTTTCTTCATGAAGTCTCTACCTCCACCTATGTCCTTGAGATTTCTACCTACTCTCCTTCCAGTAAATTAGTGTTTCCATTTTAATATTTAGATCTTTGATCCATTTTGACTTTAGTTTAGTGCATCATGATAGACATAGGTCTAGTTTAATTTTCAGCATGTGGAAAGCCACTTTTTCCAGCACCATTAAAGAGACTATCTTTCCTTCAGTGAACACGTTTGGCTCCTTTGTCAAACACAAGGCGGTTGAGTGCATGTGGGGCTGTATCTGCATCTTTCTACTCTTCCACTGATTCTCATGCCTGTTTTGTTTTGTTTTTGGCCAATACCATGCTGATTTTATCACACTAGTTTTTTAGTAAAATTTAAGGGATGGAATTGTGATGCCCTCTGACTTGTCTTTGTTGCCCAGAATTGATTTTGCTATTCGAGGTCCCCTCTGGTTCCAAATGAATTTTAGGAATGTTTTCTTTAGATCTGTGAGGAATGTTAATGGTATTTTTACCAGGATTGCATTAAATCTGTATAGCAGTTTTGGGAGCATGATGTTGGTCCTTCCTACCCAAGAGCAAGGGATATCTATTTTCTGATCTCCTCTTCAGTCTCCCTTTCTAGGGTACTGTAATTTTCACTGCATACATCTTTTACTTTGCTAGATTCCTAAATTTTTTTTTTTTGGTTGCTATTGTGCTCCCTGATTTTTCTGTGAGTTTGTTGCTTGTATAGAGGAATGCTATTGATGACTGTTGACTTTGTATCCCACTACTGAATTTAGATATTAAATCTACAATTTTTGGTGGTGTTTTTGGAGTGCTCTATGTACAGTATGATCTACAAATAATAATTTAACTTTTTCCTTTCCTATCTTTACTCCTCTTAATTTTTCCTCTTGTCTAATTGCTCTGGCTAATGTTTCCGTAACTATGTTGAATAGGAGTGGTGATAACGGGCATCCTTGTCTTCCTGATTTTAAAGCTTTCTGGTTTTGACCATTTAATGTTAGTTGTTGGTTTGTCATAAATGGCTTGTATAAGATTGAGGTAAAGACCATCTATTCTGATTTCTGTAAGGGTTTTATAATGAATGGGCACTGGACTTTGTCAAATGCTTTTTCCGTATCTATTGAGATGATCATGCATTTTTGTCTTTGATTCTGTTCACATAGTGTATTACATTTATTGGTGTGCATATGTTGAGTCATCCCTGAATCCCTGGGATGAATCCCACTTGCTTATAGTTTATAATCTTGCAGATGATTTGCTGCACCCTGTTGCCAGTATCTCACTAAGGGTTTTTTGCATCTATGTTCATTAGGGAGTTTGCCCTGTACTTTTCCTTTTTAGTATATGTCTTCTTTCCTGGTTGTGGCATCAGCTGTCTATAAACACTGCTACTGGTGACAAGAATTTTTAGATAGATGTCAGGCTCCATGTCTTCACTGGAAATGTGCACTCCGGCACTCATCTTGTCGGGCTAAAATAGCCACTGGGATCTTTTCTTAGGTCATTTAGCAGTACCAATTGCGGTGAGGTAAGGCATCTTCACTACCTGGATATACTGCAGGTCATTTGGGGTAATGACTTGTGTGGGAAGTATTCAGAGTTAGAAAAAAAGTACAGGCAACTGGTTTTGAAAAGTGTTTGATTTTGTTCCCCTTTACCTTTCTCCTCTTAAAACCAACTTTATGTCTACAATGGGCAGCAGAGTTTCAGTACCACTTAGAAGCGCTTTAGGCAGCATGCTACGTGGGGGTTATAGCCAAGATTCTACAATGAGGTACGTGCTGCGACTCCCCCAGCAAATAAACGTAGGGCAGGAATGGTCTCCTAGTTTGGACCCAACACTCAGCCTGGCCAGGGAGATCCCCACGTCAGGGCAGGACAATACCTTCTAAGGCAGTATCCAATCAGAAGTTTAAACCCAGATCCCTATAGAAATTTTAGTCACCTGTTACTTAGAAAAGTGATTTTATTGTGATGTAATATGGCCTTTATAATTCAAAGTGCACTCTGATTTAATGGAAATATCTTCAAGATTCTTTAGAGTAACTTGGGCCAGGGTAATATTCATGAATGATTTGCTTCTGCTGTTATACAGATCAGTACCAAGTACCAGCAAGAGACTTCTATGCCCACTGACCAATACAGTCCCTCAGATGCGCCCACTTACATTTCCCTTCATTTGGCCGACAGTCTACACTGCTTAGGGTATTAAATAAATTCTGTTTCAAAATCATTGTCAAAACTTCTGTTTGCAGGGCTGGGGATTTAGCTCAGTGGCACAGTGGCTGCTTGGCAAGCGCAAGGTTGTGAGTTTGATTCCTGGTACCAGGAATAAAAAAAAAAAAATGTTAAAAACCCAAAAAACCCCCTTCCGTTTGCTTATTTTCTAACTCTCTTGTCCTCTTCATTATCCAATTACAAAAATGAGAAAATCTGACTACAGATGGCTTGCCTTTGTTTCTCTCAGTGAGGAACGTATGACACCCCAGAACTGGTTTCTTTTTCAACATTAGAAGCCTTGGGCAATAAAGCCAGAACAAAGTGTGTAAATTTCTGATCAGCTATGTCTAAATTATAATACAATGGGAAATACGTTAAAAGTAAGAGCAAGAGCTTTTTAAATTAGCTAAAACTTTTGATAAATTAAGGCAGAAAAAAAAAAAATGAAGCAGATAGAATGACCAAAGGATCTCCTTTGAGAGGTACATTTCTCACTTTGCTATGCCAGAAATCCTACCTTGAGATATGGAAACTTGGATTAAGGGATTTCTGTAAAAGAAAAATCAGGGAAATAATATAACTTTTTAATAACTGGTAATCACAAACCTTAAAGTATATTCATGTACATTGTATGTTCTATGTGTACATTTGTTTTTAAATTCATATGGCATGAAATTAGTTTAAAAGACTTCATTAAGAAACCCAAGTGCCTTTTAGTTCACATGACTCAAGCAAGTGTTTAAAAGATAAAAGTGATTTCAGAACTGTTAACATGCATTTTGCGGGGCTGGGGACTTAGCTCAGCGGCAAAAGCGCCTGCCTGGCAAGCGCAAGGTCGTGAGTTCGGTTCCCAGTACCGGAGAAAAACCAAAAAAAAAAAAAAAAAAAACCAAACATGCGTTTTGCCTATCAATCAGGATTATATTTTAAATATTTGAGACCTTAAGAGCAACAACTGTTGAATTTTTCCTTTGGGAGAAAAAGGCTTGGGACATTGACTTGTACTTGCCCAGTATCTTAGGTTTGTAGACAAGTTAGAGGTATCTTACCATGAAACATCTCAATTATTTATAATTAAGTTAAAATATTAAAGGCATTTGCTAAGTATACATTCAAATATTTACTTCCCAAATTCTGTAGAAGATAATGCATTAATGAAGTGGGGATAATATTGAATATACAACTTAAGAGTCCCTAAAGGCCTGACCATTAGGGCCTGGGACTGACTCTTGTATGGCTTTTTCTTCCCTGAAGACCTCCACAAAAAGCATCCTTTCCAATTCTACCTCAGCCTGTACCCACTAGTACAAAAAAAGGTACGAGTGGGGCTGCTTCTGGAGTTTTCAGAGGGTGTAAAGGACCAGGGGGCCAGAGCAGAGGCCCTGTGTTGCAGCTGCAAGAAGACTCATTGCCCCGAAAGGTAGGGAGCTGCTGGTGGCAGTATCCATCCTTGAAAGAGGACTGGGGCAAAGATTCCCAGAGCTGAGGTCTCCTGCCTCCCACTGGGCCTTTCCCCAGTCAGCCGCTGTGTCTTCCACAGAGCACCATCCCGAGACCGCCCATCAGTATGCCGGGGCTGCCCTGTGGTGTCTTCCCATCCTCTCTCTACCATTTCCCTTGTCGGTACATGTTGAAAATAAAGCCAACAAATGATAGAATATGTCAGTATACCAATAACTTTATGTTCAGGAGGAGGAACTACAAAGACAGGAGAAAGTTTTGGTTTTAGGGTGTGCCTATGTATTAAAACAAAAATAAATGCTTTAAACACAAGAGGTTTAGGTCAATTATGCCTCAAACTATTTTAAAAACAAACACAAAACCTTCTTATGTCCTGATCATCTCTTTATATTTTATTATTCTCTATGCTCTTGAGCTCAGATATTCAAACAATTATTCCATTCCACAAATCACACCACTGAAGCATTTAGTTCAAATGTTAAGTGTCTGTTGTTTCACTACCTAGTTATTTGTTAATGAAAAAGGATACAGGTAAGACTCACTTTTACACACACACACACACACACATATGCATGTATATATGATACGATCAGACATTTTACTAAAGAACATATAGAGGTGGGGTATACATAGATGAAAAAATGCTCAACATAATGAAAAATCAGGGAAATGCAATTGAAATCATAATGTGATACTGATACACTTTTACTAAATGAGTTCATGTTAAAAAACTGTTCATTAATGGCAAAGATATGGAAGAACTAGAACTCATATACACTGCTCATAGGAATTTAAAGAGAAAAGCTGTATTAGATCAGTTTGGCTTTTCTTAAAAAGTTATAAATCTACCTAGTGTGTGACTCAGGCATTACATTCTGAGGTGTCAACACAAAATAAATGAAACATATTAAGTGAAGAATTCTACTCCAACTATTGCAGCAGTTTTATTTACAGTAACATGAAAGTGCAGAGACAAAATATCCATGACCAGATGAGGTAAAAAAAGTGCTTTATCCATATTACATGATGTCACCCAAAAGGCTGAGAAGTAATGTTCATAGAACATCATATGCCTCAGCAATAAAAAAGGAATTATTCATATAAACATTAGTGAATCTCAAGATAAACAGGCTGTTTGGGGGAAAAAAAGAGTAACAACTTTATGATTTTAACATATGATTCTGGAAAAAAAAAACATCTGTTCTAGTGGAAGTAAATCAATGGCAATCTGGAAGGCAAAGGGAGCAATGTTAAAGGGTCCAAGGTAAACACGTGGGTGATGGATAGTTGTAAGGATAGGTTTTTTTTGGTTATTTGGGGTTTTTTGAGACAAGGTCTCACTGTATGTAGTTCAGGTTGGTCTTGAGTTCCCTATGTAGCCCAGGCTGGTCTTGAACTCACAGTGATTCTCCTGCCTCAGCCTCCCAAGTGCTGGGATTACAGGTGTGTGCCACCACACTCAGTGATTAATGCATTTATATCAAAGTCAAAACTCATTATGTATAAATACTTGCCCCTAATAACACAAAATTTGTATTATTAAGGCTTCGTATAGTTCAAAATGAAAGTCTGGACTTCCTTCTGCTTCTGGAAACCCAGACTTGAGAATTCTATGTAGATTTCATCAACTTTCTTCCTAAAACCTGAAGGACCCCTTTCCTCACTGACAGCAGGTGAGGTGAGCAGGTGAGCAGAAAGGCCATTTCCTCCTGACTCAGCAGGAGAGCTGGCTGCTCACAGAAGTCATAAGGGTGGACTAAGATCCTGGTTCTCTCTATCATATCCTTGGCTGTCCAGTAGTGACCTTGAGATGAACATCCTGGAGGCTCCTGCATTCCATAAAACCTTTACATCATCTTCCTGGACAACAACCTCAGCTACACGAGGTAACAGGATTGGAGGTCCTGAGACATTCTCAGTCTGCTCATCTTCCCCAGCCAGAGTGGCTAGAACACCAGGATACCCCACCTACCAAAGCACCATATGGTTTGTTCCAATTTCTCCCATTACTGATTAATGCAAAATTTCTGAAATAATTATAATCCCTGTATAATTATACACCTCATGATGCTACTCTATGGAAATCAATACACTGAGTCAAGCAGGCTCACTGAACGACCTAGGGAACATGACTCCCAGACTGGAGTCACTAAGTATGATATACTATTGCCTGAGAGCAAGACAGCAATCTCATACTCTCCTTAGAAGTACCAGATTATCAATACTTCTCCTCAGGCTGACCTGAGCCCACAACGTATCACTGCACCTAGGATACAACTGAGGACAATTCCCTGCAGGTTTTCCTTGGAGGCCTCAGGCAGCCGTATGAAAGAGGCCCAAACTAGAAAGAGAAGTATATCCTATTCTGCCATTATGTTGATCCCTATGAAGGACACATTTGGGATGCCAACAAAACCTGGTCACCCCTTCAAGTTGGCAGAACTTACTTGTTTTCAAATACTACATTCAAAGAATAAAACCCCCAAGATAAATGGCAGCTTAAACAGTAAATACTTTATTGTACAAACCAGAGAACTGGGAAGAAGGTGGTTCCCATGGCTGGTGATTTTTGAGGCAGGGAATTTCCATCAAGAGTCATGTGAGACCATAATATCCCCCCAAAAGGTAGACAATCCTTTCAAGTCATCAGCAGAGTCTTCTTAGCCAAACTGCATCTGGGACATGCCCTATCTCATCAAAAGAAATAAAAAGGGAACACATATTCAAGCTACTTAAAAAATTCCTCCCACAAATGGGAGAACACAGGTTCACTTACCTGAACACACTGGTATGGGTGAATAGAGCACACTGTAGAAGATACAGTTGAATTCCTGCTATAGAATGTACAGTGATATAAATCCAGCAAGGGCCCAGAGCAGGTTAAAGAGTGCAATAAATTTCCTACACATCTGGAATCTGTACAGATGTTTGGACATACAAACGTCTATTCAGGAAGATGGTACCATTGTAACCCCTCCAGAGCTGTCATACTGAACAAAAAAACACACCCTTGCATATCACAGTTGTAATTCCCAAGAGAATGTGGTGCTGTCATCAGAGAAGGCCTTCAGCTGAATGTTTTTTCACATCCACTACACTTATGGGGACTTTTCTAAAGTTAATTTTCCAGCGTGAAATGCAGTTGGAACTTTGACTAAAGGATTTGCCATACTGGCCTTTATTGACTATGAATTCTCAAGTGTTTAATAAGGCTGGAATTATGGCTAAAGGACTTCCCACACTGGGTACACTCATAAGGTCTTTCGCCAGTGTGAACTCTCCTATGCTTAATGAGACTGGAGTTCTGAGTAAAGGATTTCCCACATTCACTGCATTCATAAGGCCTTGATCCAGTATGAACTCTCTGGTGTTTTTGGAGACTGGAACTGTAGGTAAATAATTTCCTACATTCGCTGCACTCATAAGGCCTTTCTCCAGTGTGAACTCTCCGATGCTGAAGGAGGGCAGAGCTTTGGCTAAAGGATTTTCCACATTCACTGCACTTAAAAGGCCTTTCTCCAGTGTGAACTCTCCTGTGTTCAATGAGGCTGGAGTTTTGGCTAAATGATTTTCCACATTCACTACACTCATAAGGCCTTGATCCACGATGAACTTTCTGGTGCTTTATGAGACTGGAGTGATAAGTAAAGAATTTCCCACATTCACTGCACTCATAAGGCCTTTCTCCAGTGTGAACGCTTTGGTGTTGAAGGAGAGCAGAGCTTTCACTAAAGGATTTCCCACATTCACTGCACTCATAAGGCCTTTCTCCAGTGTGAATTCTCCGATGTTTAATGAGGTTGGACTTGTTGCTAAATAATTTCCCACATTCCTCACATTCATGAGGACGTACTCCAGTGTGAACTCTCCGGTGCTGAATGAGGCTAGAGCTCTGTCTGAAGGATTTCCCACATTCCCCACACTCATAAGGCTTTTCACCGGTGTGAACTCTCCAGTGATCATTGAGGCTGTAGCTTTTACCAAAAGATTTCCCACACTGATGACATATGTAACAGCGTTCTCTACTAGGGGCCTTCTGCTGCTCATTTTGAGTTTTTCCATTGTGACAGACAGCCCCACAATTATTTTTGCTGTTTGACTGCTCCTTAATGCAACTGGCCTCTGCATAGAGGAATTTTGAGCTGGGCAGGAAGTCCTTCCCCACTTTCCTACAGGTAAACTGCTCCCATGACACATGGAATTTGGACCTGTTCACGAACAAGGACCCGCCCCCATTACTTCTGAAGCATTTCTGACCAAATTGCAGCTTCTCATGCTGATGAATGTTTGTGGTGAAACACCACTGTCTTCCACATGCCCCACATCTGTGTAATTTCTGATCAGAATGTGTTTCCTGCTGGTGATAAGTCATGTGCAAGACGTCTATCAAGACCAGGCTACACATCACACAGGGCTGAGCCTTTTGGGGAGATAGACCTTTTCTAGAGGTCCTCACTTGGGACATTCCTTTTAAAGAAGCACTCTGCTCAGAAGATGCCTCTGTATCCTCCACTCCAGGCCAACAACCTAAGAAAAATACAAATGAGTACTTGTGACATCAGTCCCACTGATCACAGCACCTATCCAGGAAACTGAGAGGAGGACAGCAGAGCCCATGGTCAAGTTATTAGGACAGAGGTCCATCTTGGGGAAGGACAAGCTCACACACTAACTCAGAGAACATGGGTGAATGAGAAGACCTTACCCAGGGAGGTGATAAGTGTCAAGTTCTCTGTCATCACATCACAGTACAGACATCTTTGAGCCTCATCGAGGAGATGCCATTCATCCCAGGAAAAGTGTATGGCCACATCTTCAAATGTCACACTTCCCTGCCATGATGGAGACAGATCAAACCACAAATAAGTCCTCTCCTGGAGGAAAAAAATGCATTCCTCTACATATTAACTCCGTATCCATATTCTTCCCAAGATTCCCAACTGAGACAAAAAAAATCAACCCTAGTGTCACTGTCCTGCAAGGGCTCACTGATCACCAGGTACAAGCCATCAGCCACAAGGATGGGGACAAATATAACTAACCTAGGGATTTGGCACAGGAAGGTCTATGCTCTCTCACCCCAAGACATGTCCCTAAAACACTCAAGGTCACATAAGTCTCAAAAGCAGGGCACCGGAGCTGTTGGAGTTGCTCCTTCTCCATGTGTACATCATTTTTTACATAACATATCCTGCTTAACTCAACTACCATAGCCACATGCCCAAGACCCCACCATATCAATGCCACACACCACAGATGTTTCCTTGATGTCTAGAAACTGGTTTTGTTTTAATCACTTTTGCTTCACACTACTGGTGAAGATGGGATTCCCCTGTTCTAGTTTTATGGGGATTACCAAACACCACACAACCTGACACTAGATGGAGTAATGAGATAGTGGTTTATTAATCACATATAAAATCACACAAACTGCACATACAGGTACAGTCCAGAAAAAAGAGAACCACCAGTTGCTGTAGGATGCAAGATTTCTAAGACTAAAAGGGTGAGGTACTCCCTGGTTATGTATTTGACTTGTCTGGAGACCGTGGAGACTTATTCATGGAAAGAGAAGGAAGAGAAAGAGAAAATGGGGACAAGGGAGACAGCAGCAATCTGCTACAAAGGAATAAACAGAAATAGGGACTATGCCCCTTGATAAGAAGGTTGTCTATTTGGAGACATTATGAACAGGGAAAAAAGTAGAGAGGGGAAACTTGCATTCAGGTGATTTGATACTGTCCAGATTTCACTAAATGTCAGGATATTAAAAAAAAAAAAAACACCACTGTGTCTTAATTTTAAGCTTTATGCTACAACTTAGCACACAACACTGAGGATCTTTGACAGATTCAAACAGGATCTAATACTAATACTATAATAGACCTCTTACAGCTTACACTAACAGTGGCAGACCCACATCCTAAGATGATGGGAAATCCAAATCCTAATATGGCTCCCTGTCTGGCTCCATTTTTGCCCAACATTTAGCCACAGAGACCATGTGTAGGGAGCAGCTAAAGCTGGAAATTGGTCACACATGTGGGGGCAAGGCAAGGATAGTTGGAGAATAAAGAGCACCTGAGGCATTCAAACTGCTTCAGTTCAGAGAAACACCTTGCCTGAGACATGTGCAGCCATTAGTTGCCAGGCAACCCTGTGTCATGTGACTTTAACTTTGTCAAATGTATAAATAAATGCCCCTATGGTGGTTGAGTAGTTCCTTTCCTCTCATCAGGAGAAGGGGCTCCACCTGACCTCAGCTTTCGTCTCTTATCTTTATTTCTCAGTCCTCTCTTTTTTTTTCCCCTGGCAACATAGAAAGCTTCAAAGGACATAGCAATCATGTGTTCATCTCAGATACTAATGATTCTATTCCCCTTCTGCTCAACACTCGCTATCCACACTTATGGTGTCTTCCTTAACATTCAAAGCCCAGTCCCATTGGTCACTCACACCAGGCCAAGTGACTATCACAGATGATCATGTTTGTTCCTGGCCTGATCCTCCAGGCCCTATCAAGGGCATGACAAAATCCTGGGGATTCTGCAGAGCAATGAATGATCACCAGGTCCAGACCAAGCATCTTCTTCCCTCAAACACCTTTTTATCTACCTTACATCTACTCCTCTTTTGCAAGGCTATGCCACCTGGCAAACTATCCTGTTCGATGCACCCAACCAAAATGGTCACTTGTGTTTGTAGCACCTAATACCATCATCCAGATTTTCAGTCAAGAGGCGTAGGGGTTGGGGATTTAGCTCAGTGGCACAGTGCCTGCCTGGCAAGTGCGAGGTCATGAGTTTGATTCCCGGTACCAGAAAAACAAACTAACAAAAAAAAAAGAAATACTCCACTAAGAGGCCTAGTACTTGGCCATACTTATTCCTTCTAAAGCCCCCTAATATCTTTATGATCATAACTTGAGGATTACCTGTCCTAAATGTGATCCACAGCTCACTCACCTTAGTCCATGCAATAACCATCACAGTTTGTATGTCTCCATTCTCAATCAATCACTAGATTTTGAGACCGGCATTCAGCTTCCTACTGAATTCCACCATAAAGTGGTCTCTGAAACATCTCAAATACTTATCATGACCAAAATTAAGCTCATGTTGTTCCCAGTGAATATTACTCTTTATTCCAACTTGATTGAACTTTTAGTCTTATAAAAACCACAGGGTCATCCCTGAATCCTGTTTCACTCTCTTGCTGTCCACATTTGAAAATTTTAGTTGCTCTTTTTAAAAACTCAGTTCCAGAATGTAATCACACCTCCTACGGCACAACACTGGTCTATTAACCTTCACCTAGTTATGGCAATACCATGTACTCTGATCTTCCTGCTCCCACAACTTCAGTCTATTTGCTACTCTGTAGACCAATATAGACTGTTAAGGACTTAGTAAAGCCACCTCCCTTTTCTAATCCAAATCTTCCATCATCTCCTGAAGAGGCACCCAACTTCTGAAGCAACTAATGTAATCCCCATGCCTCCAGCTCTGTTTTCATATAAAAGAGACCCATGGTTTCCTAAAGATTTCCAGCTTAGTTTTAATTCCAAGTGTCAGGACTGACCTGAGAGACCATATGCTTTCCCTTGTAAACAAAAGAAAACAACATGTTGCCTCTGGCAAACAAGAAGTAAGGGCAATAAACAAATTTAATACTGGATCTGTAGTCACCCTGATGCCAACTCTATGTATCAACCTGTGCTGATTGCCCATACAGCTTTGCCCATACTAAACATTCCATCCAGATTCTTTGGGACTCTTTGAAATCGTGATCCCAATCCTAAAACTCTATATACACTCAGCCTTCTCTCCAGACAGCTGCTGATATCACTCTGATGTCATCTGCCTGTAGGTAAATGGAATAAAATCTGTTCTTTTCCACAGCCTTAGTCTCTGAGTGTCATATCAGGCCTCCATTCACCTAACACCAAGCACTTGCATACCCTGCTACCAGTTCTGCGAATAACCTTCCCCAGCTGTTTACACAGGCTGCGCTAAATGGGAGCACCTATGCATAACCCCAAAGCATGGATTTAGTATTCTGGGCTTGCAGTTTGTCAGGGCTTTACAACCAAGCACTAGAACATGAGCAATTAAGGAGTCCAGAACACAATTCATTAAACAAGCTGGTGGAGAGACCAGGCCACTGCGGGTGGGGCTTACCCTTCATTTCCCTGTGTCCGTTCCATAATCCCACCTTCTAAGGCCCTGGCAGCCACAGAAAGAGGCAGGACTTAGGACACAATCATAGCGGGCTGAAGGGGCTCAGGCTTCCCTTCACTGTGTCTGGTGCTGAAAACAGGCGACCGTCCTCGGTCTTAATTCCAATTTAAGTGCTTACTGTCACCTCTAAGCAGAAAGGGGACTCTAAGCATATGCAACGTCATGGCGCCCAGTGTCCTCATCGCCCCTGTACTCTGACCCGCCTCTCAAAGTCAGGAACACCTCAGAACCTTGACAGCAGGGTCTTTCCTGTGCTAAGCCCAACAGGGAGGGCGCGGCCCTGTTTTGGGACGACCCTGCCTCGTGCATGCACTGCCCCGCAGACCTGGTAGGTCTGGGGCTCCAAGTGCTCCAGGGCCCGCACTGGGTTCTGAGGTGGGCAGGTGGGAGGCCCTCACTCACCTGGTGGGAGGCCCTCACTCACCTGGCTCAGCCCTCTCGGCGCAGCCGCTGCCATCGACTCTGCAGGCGACCCGGGCAGGGCAGGACTGTCCCGGGGCTGGTGCAGGCACTGCGGATCCGCCCCTGTGCGAGTGACGACGGCTCCTCTCTGCCTTCAGGTTCTGGTCACCAACACCGCTCCCTAGAGGCTCACACCGGAACTTGAAGAAAGTCACAATGGCCGCCACAGAGAAAGTACCGGAAGTCCTGCCCCTTCGTGCCTCCGTGAAACGACTAATTCTGTGTTCTCATTGGTTTATCCTCCGTAGCGTCTCGCGGAGCATTCAGGGTAATGTAGTTTCCATAGACATCACACACCACCCTCCCAGGTCGGGCGTTGTCTGGACCCCTACCACCCAGGGAGCTCACAGCTCCAGCGGGCTGCGCCGGGAGTCGCTTTTCCCGGTTTTGAACTGGGAAACAGAGTATCTGAGGTGTGCCTGGACGCCAACATGTTGGGAGGCACATCTTTCAAATTCCGTACATACAGCTTAGCTTCCTAGACTTAAATATATAGTATTATTGTGGATACTCTTAAATGCTGTTGGTCCAAAAACGAATATTACACTATTTTACAGAGTCATTGAGACAAAAATACCTGCACTGGTTGGGAAGTTAAGAAAAATGATCCTATTGCCATTACACTCCCTGGATTATTAGATTGTTACTTTGTGTATTCTGTATGGACAAGAGAAAAAACAAAACAAAACACCAGAGAGTGGTGTGATAGTCCCTCTAGAAGACAGAGTAGAAATTTGGGGCCACCCTGAAGCAGTAGTACAAAGATATATATTGCTGTGTTTCCTACTGGAAATTTTTCTTTTCCAGAAGTTTAGAAAAGTTAGTTACTTTGTCCAGTTCAGTGAACAACACTTATCCAAATACAGTAGACATAAAATAATTTATTATATAATAAATCAGGCCATGGTTTGCAGTGTTTGCCAATTTTCCTAGTGTGCAACCTTCAGTCATAGCTAGTTTCAAACTATCAAAATGGTGTCACTGGATGGAGGTGGAAGAATTGTCAGAAACACAGCATTCTGTTTTCACCACAGTATACAGGCAGATTTTAGCCATGCAGTGTGGCACACGCCTGTTATCCCAGCAGTCATGAGACTGAGGCAGGAGGATGACAGTCAGTTTGTCAGGGCAGGATGTCAGGGCAGCCTGGTCTACATAAATGACAGTCAGTTTGTCAGCCCAGCCTGGTCTACATAAATGACAGTCAGTTTGTCAGCCCAGGATGTCAGGGCAGCCTGGTCTACATAAATGAGTTCAAGGGCAGCCTGCAGTACATAGTGATACAGTAATACAAATATCCAGTAGAACTTAGATATGAAACACAGTAAAGTTACTGAGAGGTACAAATTTTGAAGATTTGTTAAAAAACAGTTTAATACAGGTATAATTGGAAATGCATACACTGCCCATGTTAAAATATCATTTTGATGTTTTGATATTTATATCCTTGAATATTGTCATTTAAAATGAAAAACAACCTATAAGTTGAAAATGGGGATAAATTATGCATTTAAATGTGTCAATAGGTGAAAAAAAGGCAAGATTTTTGAAATACAAGCAGTTCTTGCAAAGAAAGTCACATTTTATTTTATTTTATTTTGGTGCCAGGAATTGGACTCAGGACCCTGCACTTGCCAGGCAGGCGCTTGTGCGACTGAGGTATATCCCTAGCACCAGAAAGGCAAATTTTAGCCATGTAATGTAGCACACGCCTGTTATTTCAGCACTCAGGAGACTAAGGCAGGAGGATCACAGTCAGTTTGAGGGAAACCTGGTCTACATACGTAAGTCCAAGAGCAGGCTGCAGTACATAATGAGACCATGTCTCAAAAAGTCAAATTTTATACCTACATTTCTCACAAAGCATCAGAAAGATCAGTGGGTATTCCACTGCAGTTAGATAGGACTAAGAAAGGAAAGTGTGCCATTGCACAGCAAGGTGACTACAGGTAGTGATTGTATTATGTAGATAAAAAGGTAGAAGAAACAGGTCAGTATGTTTTTGCCTTTACAAGGAAAAGTGTTAGAGGACATATTTATGTTTAACTTGATCACACAATATATACATGTATCAGACATCACAGCATACCCCATTAAGCTGTACAGCCTTTGTCAGTTAAAACTTAAAATAATAAAAAGAATGCCATTAAAGTGAAATGAAATTTGCTGACATCTTCTTTTGCAGTCCAATTCCATTTTCAGTGTGAAACCTTTGAAGTGTATCCTTGTTCTTACACATAGCTGTCAGTAATACAGTATAATTTAGAGCTTGGGGCTCAAGAAAGTGATGGGAATGTATTAAAATATCTTTCTAGTCCAGACCAGTGGTGGAGAAGCTACAGCACGTGTGCCACATTGGGGTGTTTGTATTATTGAAAGATCTAGAAGGTTCACCCTCACTGCTGGACATTCCTAGTACCAGCTGTATTTACCAGGGCAATTGTTCCCCCTAATTTCTAATGCTTCCTAGTATATACACATTGTGATTTATCGACAGTCACATTTCAGCTGTGGATATTTTATAGTTGGTAAATTCTGTAATAATCAAAGCACACATAGCACTAATGTTTTGGAGAAGGACATGGCTGCACGTTGTCTGCTCACAGACCCAGTGCTGGGTGCCAGGAGCACATCTCCATAACACTGAGCTCAGGCAGTGGCAGGGATGGAAGAGACTATGTGAAACTTCTTATAAAGGCCATAATCCATTGACAACGGAAGCTTCATGATCTCTTCACCTCCTAAAGGTCCCACTCTTAACACTGTCACACCGATATTAAGTTTCAACGTGAATTTTGGAGTGGATGCAAATATTGAAATCCCAGCAGCGCCTAAGAAAAGACTGGGAAAACTGCACAATGAAGGTAAAACCTAGAAGTGGCTCTTTATTTACTTGACTACATCTCTCCCGCTTTAG